AACTTATTAGTTAGGTTTCATAATTGATAAAATTTACAAATTTAATTTTACATGCACATCGTTTTCAAATCATTGATTTTTATTATAACGCTTGTGCTAAACAATATATAAAAAAAATCTAAATATATGATTTAAGTTTTCGGTTTACTAAGAATTTTTTAAACTCCACATGATATTGAGGCATTTCATGTCTAAAATTTAAGTCTATGAACTGAGTGAACTCTAAAATAAATTCCATATTATTGTTATAGTTTCTATGAATGCAAATTATTTATATTTTATTATTAACGCTCAAGGTATCACGCAATGAAAAAACGTATTTATTTTTATGTACATGTGTTAATATTTTAAAATAAATTGTAATTAATGCGTAGGCATGTTCAGATTTTGGTGGTAAACGGGGCATAACAAATTTTAAAATCAAGAAAGCTATTTTTGTTTTGAGACATGAAGAAATATTTATTTTTTGTGTTAAAAAACTCGCAATGATAGGAATATTTTATACTTAAGACCAAAAAGTATAACCATTGGCGTATCAAAACAATAAAAACACACACATTATACTACTGTACTATACTAAATGCTCTGGCAAGGGTGGCACACCCGGCCATTCCCGTAAACACAGCTATGAATTAATGTGCTGTTCGTTTAAGAGAAACTATTATTTGTGCAGTACTATTTAAGATGCAATTAACTTAATCATTAAGCTCTAATAAACATCATCATATAATGTTGTGATATTTGTAAATAATTCGCAATATTTTTCTGATCAACGATGGATTCTATTTGAACTTATAATCAAATATACACAATTCTTTCTTACATTAGAATGTATTTTTAACGCACGATTACGTACATAATTTTAAATTACATTTTTATAAATATGTACAGGTATGTAATGCAATAAGTGTATTGTATACTTTAAGTAGTCCTAAATAAATGTGAACCTAGGCTACATTCTTTGTTGAGAACATATTGAGCAGTACAAATTAAGGCCTTTGCGCGTCCGCGCAGACTGTTCATGCCCACCGTCACCATTTTGTTAATTTCAGACCAGACAGCGTCGACAACCGGTTTTTCTCGGAAAATGAGCGACGATTACCGTCGCCATCACGTCTCTCTCGATTCTGTTCGTTTCCGGTGGCTGTCGGGTGTTCTGCAGGCGTCCATATACAGCCCACACGTATCCAGCCGACATTACGTGCTATCAACGGCCCCTTGTGCCACTCGCGTACGAATCTCCCTTTTGGTTCTTTCGTTGTGCGTGAATGTGAACCAGGCCAGTTGCGCCTCCGTCACGCCAACCTATCTTGTTCGGGTTTTCCGTCTCGTTCATCCCGTTTCATGCGCGCGAGATTATCGACCACGTGTCCGTGTGTCATTCGAGTATCACCGGTTGCAGTAGTCCTCATTCGTCCCAGGAGGGTCAGGTCACGTTTGTTTTCTTTTTCTTACTATTGTATTATTATTTTACTCGTATTTATTTATTTTTATCAAATAATAATGTTATAGCGATTAAACATCGAGTACTCTCATTAATAACCCTACATTAAGATATTCATTATTTATTTTTTGCAACGCGTGTTAATATATATATACTAGCTGACCCGACAAACGTTGTTTTGTCATATAAATTATTTCTAGAGAATTTTTGTTAGACAAAAATAACTAAATTAATATAGGTGTATAAGGAAGTGGTATATAAGTGGAAGAGGTATAGAGTGCTGTAAACGGTGACGAAATATAAAAATGAAAAAACATCAAACATTTATTTTTTTAATAACTTATTAAAATTGATCCTTTAAAATGATATATATCGCTAATTATGACAATATTAGTAAAAAGCAAAATCAATCCCTTAATGTAACAGAGTGTACAATATTTGTTGTTATCCCATCTTTCGCCAACACAAACTGGATGGTTCTAGAGCACGCCACGTAAATTGTCCGTGTGAAAAACATGATGTGCTCCAAACTGTATCAATAGATTTGTATAACACCAACTCTCCTGGTAACAAATGTTGTATCTTAAGATTCAATTTGTAGGCGTCCACATTTTTTGCTGCAAAAATTGCTCTTTCTGCCAGCCACTCATGATTTGTGTATTATCTGTGTACATTGGGAAATATCTGGTCAATGAGAGCATCTTGCAGAAATCGGTCAGTAATTGTTTGCATCCCGTTTCATCTGTAATAACTTTTCCATCACCGATATCTAACAAATGTTTTGAGAATCTTCCGCACGCAGCTTTTTTTGATTGAATCGCAAGTATCGTAATCGTTCGCTATCTATCTTTACATACATGTCGACCATGAATTGTTGACAAAGCTCATGACATCGTAGAATAACATTGTCCTGATCGCATCTAATCATCAACCGATATGTATATTAATCCTTCGAACTACATTTTTTGATTGTTTGGCACCTGTTGCGGGATCTTGTTGTTTAATATTTATCTAATACCCGTAATTTAATATCAAAAATAAAATTAATAGCCTTTAAATATTTTTTAATAGTTTTTTAATAGTATCATTTAATAATTCATTTTCAATTGCACAGTTATCGGACCGGGTCAAAAATTATTAAATTAAACTACGATTTATTAAACAATAGCACTTAAGAGTATAAAAAATAGATAAAAACCTATTCGCAAACCTACCAAATGTATATACAAAATTTCATTAAAATCGGTTAAGCCGTTTTGGAGGAATATGGTCACAAACACTGTGACATGAGATTTTTATATATATTGATGTCTCACCTTCATTTTGCTCTCGTTTTCATTCCTTATACTATAAGGAATGAAAACGAGAAGTGAAAAAAGAAGTGACAAAAGAAAGTGGACTGTATAAGGTTTATACAGTCTACTTTCTTTTGATTTTTCTTACCTTCTCTCCCAGCTAAAACTAACGGTAATACGACCGGCGAAATACGCCGAATAAATTTATTAATTCGTTTTTATGGTCCTTGTCGATATTCTTTGAGTTAGTCATTTGGTATATTAACCGATGCCACTATGTGACATTCAACAATATTAACCTATCATATAGTTATAACATATAACCCAGTAATAAAATTGCACAAAAATAACACTGACATAAGTCATGCTTACAAATACAATATACCAGGAGTGACCAACATGAATAGGTTCGCTGGCTATAAGGATAAACACAATAATTCCAAGAGTTAAAATGTTTATAGATACATTTTAAATAATTTGATAATTTTTTTTAAATCTATACCTAAAAAATTAAAATTAAAAATAATATTAATAATATGATAAGTAAATTTTAATTTTATAAATAAAACGCGAGCCACGTGTGAAAATGACAAGAGTCTCACATGTGGATCTTAGCCACAAGTTGGCCACCTTTGCAATAAATGATACGCGTACATCAAATGTACGGAACAACTAATAATCATAACTGATGAACGCCGAGGAATAAACGACACACAAGTTTAAAATAATGTATGAGTTAGTCGTGTCACTCTTATTTTGATTATTTGATTGGATTTGTTGGGATCGTCTTAGTCTTTAGCGTGACGTGTTTCTTCCGCTTTGGCCATCTCGTTTCGTAATCCTTTTAGCCAACTCGGCCTCTAATTTTTCATTTTTGGTCCTCAAATTTTCTATTTTTTCCTTCAAATCGTTTAGTTTATTTCTTGCTATAAAAACACGACAGGATTTAAAATTATCATAAATATTTGTCCATGATGTCAAAAGTTATTCAACTTAATGCTAGTATTGCTACATTTGAATGTAAGTATGGGCGGTATGTTTACGTTACTTATTATCAATATTGTATCGTCATCTAAAATTGTTACTATCCATAATAATACTATAAGTTGTTATATGTTAAAGGAGTACGCGTAATACGAATTTAAACGTATAAAAATATATTTATAACTTAAGTATTTGTTTTTATTTATAATTATAGCCTTATTTCTAAAACAGTTCACCTCGAAAATTAGAAATAATGAATGTTAATATTGGCTTATTTATTTTAAAAAACCTACGATTAAGATGAAGTTAATGACTAAAGTGATTTCTGATGTGGAACGGATATTGAGCCGAAGTATATTATGTGAGTAAATGCGTATAGTATATATATTGTCTGAAAATATCTGCATTGGGTCGAGAATGGAAGATATTTACCTGAGAAAATTTTTTCTTCATTATTATTAAAAAGTATATTTACCACCTATATATAGCACAATTCATTTGTTTGTCTTATATATTTGAGATAGGAGAGAGGAAAAATCTCAAAAATAGATTTATTTTAGATTAAGACTACATGCTGTTTATAAATATCTGAAAACTATAGAAACTTATTTGAAATATATTGAACAATATATTCCATGGGCCATGAGGATTTGAATATTATCATGTAGAATTTAAATTTAAAAAAAAAAAAGTTACAAACAGCTCTTTAACAATTAATTAACAATTAATTTCATCGAATAAAGTAAATCAGCGGTGTTACATCTATCTCAACAAGGTAGGTTATTAAGAAGTGGGAAATGTTTCATATGTTTGGGAGAGAAAATCAAAATAAATATTATCAGAATATTATTATATCTGATCCATTATAATATCATATTGTATTCAAATTGTATATTGATTATGGTCAGAATTATATATATTTCAATAATATAACTATAATATTAAGTTGTCGTGTATTGCTCATTTTTGTTATGATTTGTGCAGTCTATAATTTTAAAACAGTCAAAAAATATATATAATTCAATGGTTGAATATAATATGGATATAATATTATAATGATTAAAGTCAAATAACGTATACTTTGGAATTTAAAAATATATGTCAAATAGGTTTTTGAAACAAATTCATATAAACAGAAATAAATATGTCTTGACATACGTTTTGAATAACATTACAATAATATCATCTGCAGTGGTAATCACGTTGTGTGTTCGATAGTAAATTGTTTTATATATATATATATATATATATATATATATATATATATATATATTATCATGAAATTTCTCACATTGGCCTACGATATTCTCCAATGGATTGGTGTGTTCCCTCAGTGGATCTGGTCCAAATGGAAATTGTGGGTTTACAGCATTTACCGAATAATGATTTTTGTAATGATCGCCTTGTTTACGGTGCTAATGACCGTTCAGATGTTCGTGGCTACAGATCTGACCATATTGGCTCGAACCATAGACATCTGGACCATGTTCTTGTCGGGTCTGTACAAATGGTCTTGTATGTCGCTGTTCCATGAAAAATTTGTAAAGCTCAAAACGAAACTAATAGAAATACAGGTGCAAGGGTCGGTAGCATTCGGTCGTCGGTCAGCTGATATCTTCACGACCAACTACTTAAAGCAGACGCAGAAAGTGACTTTCGGATATATGATGAGCGGCCTAGTTGCAGCGGGTTTCTTAATAATGAGCCCCTTGTTGACCTATCCAAAGGGGTAAATCGCATCATAATATTGATTACTAAATCATCTAAGTCTGGTGAACCAATAACGAACCTAATCTTTGTACTGTAATATTTTTATTTTCGCAGAGGTCGGTCTGATTTTGAATATTATAATGACCCACGAAGTTACCCATTGAGTTGTTGGATGCCGTTCATGATAGACGAACGTTGGATGTTCTGGACCATTTTCATAAGTCAGTCCATTTCGTTAATAGTTGTTGTTTGTATGTATTTGGGAATCGATTCATTCATGTTTGGCGCTATATATACTGTTGGTGGTCAAATCGAACTATTAAACTGGGCATTGAACAGCATCAAAAATTCATTGGAAGAAAGTGAGTATGATAAAATAAGATGGATAGTTTAAGATAAATAAATAGATAATTTATAGTCAAATAAATTCGAAAAATCTATTTAGTCGTAAGAGAATTTTATAAACATTGTGTTATAATAAAACAAAAATTTTTAATCATTTAAGACTCGATTTAAAAAGTTTAATACACGTTTCTTTGAATCAAGATTCTTCAGAAGGGCTATTATTATATTATTGATATATGAAAAATCATAATTTTTAATGTAAATTTAAAATGATTTAATTACGCGAAAAATGTTTAAAAAATTAATTAGGAAACGTACTTGAAATATTGCATTAACAATCCAGAGTGATTCAATTCTAATAATGATAGTTCTTAATACGAGTATAATAACCATAAGTGATTGAATATTTTAAAATGCAAACTATTTTTCAGTCGGAAGCTCAACGTCCACGGATCAACTTATACAGTATACTGAAAAACAACAAATGAAGTGTTACTCGATCCTTCGTCAATGTGTGAAACATCATATTTTGATTCTCAAGTATGTATACTCATCATTATATTCGATAATCTTAATACCTATTACGTATTAATAATAAACAACTATCAATCGATTCTTGTTCTTTTTTGTAGTTACATCAAAATGGTACACACACTGTTCAGTTCTTTGATAATCATTGATTATTTACATGGAATAACATCGGTGTCATTTGCGCTGTTCCAGTTAACGGTAAGCTCAATTGAAACACACATATCCCGCATTAAAATTATAGTAATTTGTGCGTGTTTATAATGCGCAATTAACGTCATCGATCCGTCAGGTCTACTGTCTATATTAACACTGAGTTACATGATGTGTTTTCAGATCAGCAGAGGCATAGGCGAAAAGATTAGTGTAATAAGCTTCATCGCTTTGAGTGTATGGCATCAATTCCTCAACAATTTTTTCGGCGAATTCATCATACAAAAAGTAATATAAAACAACTTACGAACAAGGACGTATTTAGGGAGGGGGACGAGGAGGTACCATCGCCCTGGGCGGCAAATTTTTTTTGAATTAAGGAGTAACAGCATTTTTTTGTAACCAAAATGCATCATCCATTTTCATTCGTCAATTAAAACATTTTAATATTTTAAGATTTTGCATAACGACCACACTGTGATTTTTATTTTCATGATGATATTATCAGAAGTAGACCGCGTAAAATCCATAAGTAATAAATATTATTTTTATTGAAAATTGTATAAAATGTGTGTAGGGGTGGTAATAAAACTTTACCTGGGGCGTCAAAATTCTAAATACGTCTCTGTTTACAAAGAAATATAAACTCATAACTTTTGCGTCGTGTTCGTCACGATTTCAGCAACTGAGTGTTAGCGTTGCGTTGTACCACATCCCGTGGTGGCGTGCGGGCAAAAGCGTGCGTCAATTGTTGTCGTTGATGATATCGAGATCTATTAGACCGACATTCATCACGGGATTCTATATGTACAAGTTGAGTTACGAGTCATTCATTTCGGTAAGATGATGCAATGAATCGCGCGCGCGTTTCCATTCATCGGCTTTTTGACCAATATTCGAGTATTTATTTATTTTATTTTATTTTTTTTTGTGGCCATAGTGCTTGTGTGCATAATATACAGATGACAGTATTACATATTATTTTATAAGTATTTGTTTTCAGTTCGTTAAAGCTTTGTATACGTACTACATGGTATTGAGACGTGTCAACGCGGAAGATAAAAACGCCTGAGCCCGTAATCAAGTCATACGTGGGTTATTACATTCGTAACGATTACTATGAACAACACACAATCACACATCGCACATATATTTTAAAAATAAGGTGTAAATAGTACACATTTTGTGGAACTCTTTGTGACTTTTTCGAATTCTTTAAATTATGTTCATAACAACAAGTAAATATACTTTTTTCATATATTTTTTCTTAAACGATATATGCTCATATACTGTTTAGTTTAAATATTGTATGATTAATTAGCATAATGGTGTTCACATGTTCCTATATTATAGCTAAGAAATGTATTTTAACATATCGTATTTTGTACATAAACGTATGAGTGTTAAAATACATTTATATTGGGCTTATATAATTTGAGTATGATTTTATCGATATTATTTATTCAACAAATAATTTACACAATTAATTAAATTAAGATAGATAATTGTAAATATACTATACATTAACTATATGCATTTAACTTCCAATGAACATTTATCATATCCTACACAGAATGTTATGTAATTTAATACTCCAACTAAAATCAACAGTTAATTGAATTCTAAGGCCAGTTTATTATCAGTATTTCACTGCATATTTTTTATGATTTATCATTCTATGTATTTATTATAAAATTGTCTGTTATGGTCATAAATTATATATCTTAAACAAAAAAAAATACACTTTCCATGTATAGAATTTCATGGTGAAAAAAATTGAAGAATATTATTTTATATATTTTTGAATTCAAAATATAAAACTGAAAAATACTTCGATCTGATGCATTATTGAAAATAAGAATAACTGCAGATTATCTATTTTGATTGATTTTAATCTAATATTTCAAGTTTAATCTTTAGCAGTGTTATGTTTTATCCATATCAATTTATCTAGACATATTTCTATCTTTTATCTTATTTTATAAATGGGAAATAAGTTATCTGAGTCGTTGTTCAAAATAAATAATGAAATCATCTAGATAAATTTGTTTAGATAAAATATAATTTTTAATATTTTTTTTATATTTATAACGCAGTGAAGAATGTATCGATTTTACAATATGTGTTATTTTTATATATATTTATTTATATATTTTGTGTTTGTCATCATCTTTTGGAGAAGTAAAAGTGCTTAAATTTTAAATTTTAGGAGTGTTTTCTGGTCGGAAATTATACTAGCTGGTTAACTGGTGGGAAGCGGAATGGGTGTTTAAGCGTCAAAAGTAAAAAAAAAATCAATATTTTCAAATGTTTCAAGAATGACAAAAAAAAAGTTAATGTAAAACAGAAATAAAATTATAGTAAAGTGTTTGTTTATTTGTTACTTATACGGCACATAATATTAGTTATTTTATATTTTTATGAAAATGTAAAATACTGAATACTTATACAAGTAATCATGCGCAATTTCAATGAAAAAGCTGGAAGTGCTGAAGATCTTCTATCTTTGTCATGTTCCATAATGATTAGAGCACCCACAATCCGTAAAGTTCAACAATTACTAAAATATTTAGTAAATAATTAAATATTTCTAAATATATATTGTTCACATCTTTTTTTATGTTTATTCCACGTAAGTAGTATAAAAATGCCGATTCTATGACATGAGGAGGAGTATGAGCAAAATACAATTGCCAATTCTTTAACATAGTGATTATCATAGATAGTGATGAGAAGTTTACACTCCTCCTACCCACAGTATATTTGCCGTCACCATCACTGTACCCCGACCACCCACCGATGTTTACGTCTTTATCAGTTTTTGATAATAACCAGATTTGTTAATCACTTGATATCAAATTAAAATAATCATGTATGATAACATAATTAATATTTACAATAAGTATTCCTATAATAATTCATATAATAATTCATATAATTATCGATATCAGTTGTGATAATACTAAATGCATGTCATTACATTTTTTTGTCTACTTATATTTTTTGACTCCCACACTACCTGTACTTTTTCCGCTAGGTTTTAAATATCAAATAATTTGTAAAATACTTTTTCTTTTTTAAGAATGTTGGATTTTTGTGTATAATTTAAACAAATATAATATGGGAAATTATAAATTGAATTTTTTGAAATAAGTAGACCGTATAGAAATTTTTATATGGCCTTGGAATATATTTCATTGAATTAAGATTATATTAACATTAGAATACAGGATTACAATAATCTTACATTTGTAAGGATTTAACATTCCAGTCTTACAACTTATACAAACATATAATTATGTATTTATTAATATTATTTTTTTTTATTTTCAAAGCTTAAAATATTAACTATGCTGAAGTTTTGATTTAAAAAATAAATTTATCATTTTCTGATACCAACTCAATTAATATGTGTTACTTCGACTTTGATTCCTTGCTAAAATTGTTAAAAAAGTATGCCAGTGATCACTGCTAAGTTATTGAAATGTTCTTATTATTATAATAAAATTCCGAATAGTAACATAGTTAAAATAATGTTAAATTTTCTAAGCACCAATGCCTTGAAGAAATGTTGACCTTTTTGATTCTAAACTCTGTTGGGACTTTTGTGTAGTATTTATTTACATTGTTATAAGTATATTGTACTTATTTAATAGTAAACAAAACATTAACGGAATATATACTCAATTTTTAATGCCATGACCTGTGTATAAGTACATATAATATTTATCACTATAGTTAAAAGTACCTACTATCCACGTGCAAGGCCGCATCCAGGGTGTCTGAACCCCCCCCCCCTTAATTTTTTCAATATTTTACGAATGTTTAAAATACTTATTTATTTTTAATAAGAACATAAATATTTTCAGTCAAAAGTGTCTTAAGCTCCAATTAATCATTGACTGCTTTTATTTATATATCATAATATCATATGAAAATATGATATTAATTTTAATAAAAGAAGATTAAATATTTTTCTGTTTTATTTTTAACCAATTATCAAAAGTTGAAATCTAAATTCAATTAAATATACAATATACCTGTTTTGGACCCCTCCCGAAAAAAATTTCTAGATACGGACTTGTCCATGTGCAAAACATCTAATTCTTTTAAAAAAATCTAAGTTTGTTGTACATGAAAAATAACTATATCATTTAGCGCATCGTTGTCAAAAAGAAATAATCCACATTTGTTTATTTTTATGTCTAATAAATGTAATGGTTCGTGAACTTCTTTTCTTGATGTTGGTAGCTTAGGATAAAAATACATCCTTGCATTGAGAATATTACTTAGAATGATTTTTAAATTGTCTGAAATCAAATCGCCCTCGTTAGCATACTTAGATAATTATTTTCGTATTATTTTTTACGGTTTTTTAGCTATTGAGTCCATAGTTTTGCTTTTGTAAGAATTACTAATTTGTTACCTTTTTAATATGTCATCCATTGCATGACTATGGTCAAAACAAGATTTGTCTGTATTTATTAATTGGGCATTTTGACCATCAATATAAACTTTTGCACTACATTTATTTATAACAAATCGCCTTGAATTTTCATTTTTTTTTAGATGTATGATATTTAAAAAATTAAAAATTATTTAATAATAACAGTTGTTTGCCTTTTTCACTCAACATAATTGATACGAGTACATTTTCGCTCATTGTAATTTTGTATATTATGATTAGTATAGACGGATATATAGGACACACTTTTAATTGACGTTACGAGGAGCTTTGCGCCGTATCTAGTTATGGCGGAAGGTTAGTAACTTCAAATTGTCGAAATTTTAATAAATTTCAATATTATTTAACAACAATTAATTTCTAAGACAGCTTGGTGCAAATTTCACAAAAACTTCAAAATGTTATAAGCTTTGGAACGGTATACTCCATTTTTTCATTAAACTATTTGGAGGGGCCGCTATTCCATCTTGTGTGCGGAAAAACGAAAATAAATTTTAAGCGATTAATACATGATAAACTGACAACAAAAACTGATTACGCCGCTTTACTACGTTTATTTAAAGCGTTCGATAACAATTTTCGTTATTTAACTGTCATAACTTATTATTTATATGTAAATGTTGGTACTAATTATTATTATCATAATTTATTGTATAGTCGTCGAATTCAATTAAGTCATTCAAATGTTATTAACGTTTTTTATTATTTGTCGACCATGGATCTCAAATTTTAATACAGTTATTGTAAGAGATTCTTGTATAGTGTTTGTTTTTGTATTATCCGTTATGCCTTCTTATTCAAATGTCGAACTTGTAGACATGCATTTTATTTATGGTTTGCATAATGGAAATACTCGAGCCTCACAAGGAGAGCACGAAAATCGTTTACCTGGTCGGCGCGTTCCTGCCCCAGCCATGTTCAGTAGAGTCCACCAAGCTCTGAAAGAGCGAGGTACTTTTAGACGATCTTTGAGAGAAGGTGTACATAATGTATATTTGGAAAGGGAAATCTTAGATGAAGTAAATAGAGATCCAGAAACTAGTACACGTACGCTTTCTCGTCAATTTGGTGTTCATCATTCGACTGTTTGGAAAACTATTAATAGAGCAGGTTTATACCCATATCATTTTTAAGAGTTAATGGTTTAAAGAACACAAATCATCAACAATGTGTTCAGTTCTGTAGATGATTACTTCATAATGAAGTTGAGGATTATGATTTTCTTCAAAGTATTACTTGGACAGATGAGAGTACATATACAAGAGAAGACGTGTTTAATGTTCATAATAGACATCATTATGCTCAGGAAAATCCACGCTTGGTACATCAATAACATTTTCAACACAGATTTTCGATCAATGTGTGGATGGACGTCATCGGTGGTGTGTTAATTGGTCTATTTTTAGGACTTCCTTGGACGGTAGGTGGAAATACATACCTAAATTTTTTTTCAAAATTAACTACTTGGATGCTTGAGGACATAACTTTAGTAGTCAGGAGACGCATGATTTACCTACATGATGGGGCCCCACCACATTTCTCAGGAGCAGTGAGACAGTACTCAAATGAAACATTTACTTCTTGGATCGGCAGAGGAGGCACAAATCTATGGCCTCCGAGGTCTCCAGACCTAACTCCATTGGATTTTTTTATTTGAGGATACCTCAAAAAATGAGTCTACCGTATGGAAGTCAATTTTGAAGCAGAACTAAAGCAGAGAATTCTTCAAGCTGCTATTGAAATGCAGAGAATAATGACAGCAGGAGTAACTAGGATTCAAATACGTGAGAGAACACGGTGGACACTTTCAACAGCTTTTGTAATAAATTTATATGTGTAAACTAATTTTAATAATATTAATAAAATATACATATGAAATAAAATTTACATCAGTTTACCACGTTTTACCGGTTTCGTATTTATCAATTAGAATTAGTTTTGTTTTTCCACACATGATGTGGAATAGCGGCCCCTCCAAAAAGTTGAATGAAAAAAAAGATTTAGAGAAACTATTTGATTCTCTACCAAACAACTGCATCAAAATGGTTGCTGGTGACATTAATGCGCAAGTTGGTAAAGAAAATTTTCTTAGGCCAATTATAAGCCAAAAAAAGCTGGCACCTGGAATCTAACGATAATGGGCTTAGATTAGTTGGCTTTGCAGAATCTAAAAACCTCACCATAAGTTGCACTTATTTTCCCAAAAAAAACATTCACAAGTACACGTTGACAGCCCCAGATTGTAAGACAAAAAGCCAAATTGACCATATAATTATTGACAAGCATCACCGAATATGCATAAAGAATGTCAAAAGTTATAGAGGCGTTGATGGGAGACTCAGACCACTTCTTAGTAATTGCAAATCTTTCATTAAAACTATCAACAATTTGGAAAAAAGAAACGACAGTTTAACACAATGCATAAACTAAATAGGTGTAAATTAAGAGATCAAAAGGCAATCATAGAATACCAAAAAAGAATTAAAGAAGGTTTGAACTGCTGTACTTTAGTACAAAACGAAATAAATAACGTAATAAATTTGACTCAAATAAAGGAATCAATAAATAAGGTAGCAGTAACACTCCGAGATACCAAAAGAAAAAGTAAGAATCACTGGTTTAATGATGAATGTCAAGAAGCGATAATGAAGCGAAAACGGCAAGAGTAAAAATGATATAAAACCCTTCAAACAAAAATATAGAGGAATACACAGAGTCTCGTACGAAATCAAATAAATTAATCAGAACAAATAAAAGATCATCAGAAAAAACCAATCTAAATGATATTGAAGCATATAGGAAAGACTCGAGATTGTTTTTTGAAAAGTGTAAATCAGTAAAAGACGGTTTTAAATCTCGTACCTACCTTATAATTTATGACGGAGGTAATCTTGTGTTAGACGCTAAAATTATCGTAAATAATTTCCAATTATATATTGAGAATTTACTAAACACTCCAACGCACCATGAAATAGACAATGCAAATAGAAATTGGGAACAGGATGAAGACCAAATGTATGTTACAGTTGAATCAGACATACCAGAACTTTCTTTGAAAGATATTAAGGCAATAGTAGAGTCCTTGAAGAACAATAAAGCACCAGGAGAAGACAATATAAATGTGGAATTGCTTAAACTTGCGAGGCGGGATCTCTTGAAAAACTTATATAAAACCATCTTAATTATATGGAAGGAAGAAAAGTTCAAGAAGGATTGGAATACAGTTGTTATCTACCCGATATACAAAAAAGGGATCCCAAGAAAGTAAAAAATAACCGGGGCATATCCCTTTTAGACACTGCTTACAAAGTCCTGTCAATGGCTATTCTACATAGACTTGAAAAGTACTCGTATTTATCAGAAATAATAGGCGAATACTATAATAATAATGTTTACGTCGATTTGAGGCATGCACTTTACACGATGGAAGGATTTTCGAACAGTTTATTGAATAGTTTATGTTTGTTATTTCTGTAAATTAAATTGTAAATAAAAATGTATAGTAATGTTAAAAAAAATAAAATAGAAATTTTGTTTCTTAAAAATACATGTTTAAACTATGTTATTACATAATGTGTAATATTAATAAAATAAGATAATAATTCATAAGTAATAAATAGTTAATTAGTTTAATAATAATAATTTTGATTGTTTGTTTCGTGGTGTTTAGAAGAAAAAAAGTACGCACAGTTAGAAAAAAAAATTAATTAAATTAAATTTTTTAATTTCTTAAATTCTATTTAGCTCTAGTTTAGTCAATTTTGGGTTTAGGACACAAGTTTATACATCAAAATGGCTTGAAAAAAATTGACGAACCCGAATATGATATTCAAATTACGGGTTGTCATTTAAAAAATGTAAGTTTTATTGCGCATGCGCAAGATACACGAGTTAAAAACATTGTAAGTCATAGAAATGTACGATCCTTTAGTCTAGTTTAATGTCTCGCAAACAGAATTGAAAAATATTTACATGGTAATGAGTGATAAAGTGGCCCCTGCTTTTTGGGACACACGGTATATATATATATATATATATGTTACCGGAAATGTTGACATTTAGGAAAGGATGACAATTCCTAGTAGCGGAAGGAAATGATATCATTGCCTAGTATATGTTATCATTTCCTTAAAATTCCAGGCAATGATGCCATATTTTTTCATACATGTGATACCATTTTTTTTTTTTTAATTTGATTTAATTAGACTTAAGATAATTATTTTACTATATATAAATGTTAATTACTAATATTATAATAAAATAATAAAATAATATAATAAAATAGAGTAGTTTTTTTTTAACTTTTTTTTTATCAATTTGATTTTTATAATTTCACAATTTTTATATTTTACATTTTATTTTTCGTAGTTACTCAGTTTTATTTTCACATGGCAAACCTCCATGACATTAGAATTACAAATTCTAGATGCCGATCTGCAAGCACACCTGTTCGTCTTGCATTTTGTTTTACATTGAGATTGCATATCAATTATGTCTATTTGTGCACGTGAGTTGTATGCTGAATGCAAAATTGGTTTGGAAACAAGACCTCTTTTTGGGTTAGATGATTTTTTATGACAGTCGGTACAAAGACTCAAAAAAATCATTATTGTTTCTTTTGTTATATTACAATACTTTAATTTTATTTCAGCCATCATGCGGTCGCGACCACCGTGACCGATAGCTATATGCGTAGAGTGAAGAATATCGAATAGCTCTTCGTTTTTAACGTAATAACGTATACCGTCATTATCATGGTTCATGGCCTTAATTAAGCGCTCTTTATCATTTATTAAAATAACATCGTACTTACGAATATTTCTATAATCTCTCTTGCATTTTTTTTTAATCTTGGATAGTTTTACATCTTCCATACGACGATCGTATTCCTCATTATTCATGAACGATTTGTTGTCATCACGCTTATCGCCAATTAGTAATAAAATTGCTTTATTAAATTCATTTCGCATTTTATTGAGATCCATTTTTAACAAACGCACTGAATGTGTAAATAACAAATACGTACTGTACTAAGAAGAACACATTACTAAAGGTGGTATACTGCATGTACAGGTTAGGGACACTTTTAATAAAATACATAAAGATTGCGATAAATATATGCGATATGCGATAGATATTTTCCACACAACCATTTTATCGACGGGTGACGATTACGGGTTTTAGTATGTCGCCGCTACGAGTTAGTTATCGTTCTAATAGTTATATTGTAAAGCCGGTCCCACATGACTTGTAACATCATGAGTTCCAATGCTTTCGTCTAAGAAAGTAATGAGTGATAACATTGCCTAATAAACTACGGAAATGATGACAATTCCTAGGCAATGATATCATTTCCTTCCGCTACTAGGAATTGTCATCATTTCCTAGGAATTGTCATCCTTTCCTAAAATGTCAACATTTCCGGTAACATATATATATATATATTTGATGGATTTTTCTGATAATGTGTTAACGAAGTTATGGATTTTACATTGAAATATACCGAAAATATTATATAGAATTGGTATTAACATTTTAACTCCAAATCTAATGACCGTAGTTTTCAAATTTATTAAATACCTATTTATCCACAGAGAAATTAAAAATTATTTAATTATATATTTTAATCAACTAATATTCACCATGCACTCTACACACTTTACGAATGTGACCGGCTTAAAAATTATACGAGTTTGCGGCATGGGATTATACCTAAAATTCAAGAAAACTTTAAACTAATAAATACTGATTTGATCAATAATTAATATGTTGTGTTCGAATTGTGTATCGATTTCGGCCGAAATTATATATTTTTTAATAATATATAAAGTTATTGTGAGCAGTCTAATTTCTTAATAACTATTATGAAACTTATAATTTTGAAATGCTTAACAATATATTACAATATACTCCAGTGTTTGTATACATATTTAAAGATATTATGCTATATGAGGTTTATAACGATTAGTCAAGTAACGTATAGTTAAGAATCGTAAAAGTTTGTGTAATATATTATGTATGTGTTTGTTAACACGTTATAAGTTTGTCACAATACCATCACTTAGAGTCGTATGTGTAACTCACGTTGACGTTTTATGTTCAACCACTTACTTTTTTAATATATATTTGCTATCATGGATTTTTTAACATTGGCCTTTGATATTCTCCAATGGATCGGTGTGTTCCCTTCGCGGGAATGGTCCAAATGGAAATCATGGTTTTACAGCGTTTACCAAATAATGATTTTTACAATAATATTCTTGACCACGATACTGATGACCATTCAGATGTTCGTGTCCACAGACTTGACCATATTGGCCAGAACCATAGATATGTGGACTTTGTTCTTGTCGGGTCTGTACAAATGGTTTTATATGTCGCTGTTCCACGAAGACTTTGCAAGACTTAAAACGAAACTATTCGAAATACAGGCTCTAGGGTCAGTAGCTTTTGGTCGTCGGTCAGCCGATATGTTTACGACCAACTATCTAAAGAAGATGCAGAGAGTAACTTTTGTACACATGATGAGCGGCACGGTTGTGATTGGTCTCACAATTGTGAGCCCTTTGCTGATGTCTCCGAAAGGGTAATAATACATTTAATATGTTAATTAAAAAGAAAAAAAAACTTGTGTTATATTTTTTATGAATTCGATCTTTCGAACATAACATGGTTAGAACTTTATAATGTTACATTCTCATTCCTAGTGACCGATCCTATGTTGAATATTACAACGACCCAAAAAGCTACCCGTTTAGTTGCTGGATGCCATTTACGGTAAACAAATCTTGGTTATTCTGGATCATTTTCAACAGTCATATCATCTCGTCAGTGATTATTGGAACTACGTATTTGGGTATCGATTCATTCATGTTTGGGGCTATATACACTATCGGTGGTCAGATTGAATTATTAAACTCATCTATAAATAGAATAGGAAACTATTTAGAAAAAAGTGAGTGTAATGAATATATTCATATAGGCTCTCTAAAAAATAATATATTCCAAATTATAGTGGGAAATTATTCTAATCATAAGTTTTTTTTTTAAATATTAAAACCAAAAGCTTAATTTTCTGGGTGTGGAAATGAATGGAAGCTATTTGTATAATTTACCAATTATCTACCATGAAAACGAACCTTTTTGAATAGTCAACTTTTAATTTGTAGTTTTAATCATGAAATGTATGATTTTTTCACGCATAAAGATGACTACACTTTTTTTTTGTTGACAATGTTTTTTCTTTAATATTAAATTCACATACAAGGTCAAATTTAGATTTTCTTTTTGAGAGGAGGTTCTGAGATATTTAGTATATTTAAAAATTTAACAAAAAGAAGAGTTATTAATTTTGTTGTAAATATAATAACCGATTGCGGTTGATCGGGATGGTATAATTCGATAGTCGACAAAATACATATTGTTATCCAAGCATAGTAAAATATTAAAGAAATTTCGGGGGGGGGTGTCCGGATCTCATGAACCCCTCTTAGATACGGCCTTAGTGTTAATCTAATATACACATATTACTATTCTAAAAATTATTAAATTTATCAATGCTTTTAAGATCAGTTTTTTTTTTTTCATAGAAAGTTCGTCGGACACGAGTCAGCTTATGGGGTACACTGAAAAAAAAACAGATTCGATTTTACTCGATCCTCCGAAATAATGTGAAACATCACATCTTTATACTTGAGTACGTATATATAACTAAATATTTGACTATCAAAATACCTATAACATATTAATAAATACCGTATTTTATTCCTTTTTGTAGTTACATTAAAAGAATACATAAACTTTTCACTTCGCTTATAATCGTGGATTATTTACATGGAATAACATCACTTTCGTTTGCTTTATTCCAAATAACGGTAAACCTAAATACAGGAACACGCATATTCACTGTTCTGTATTATAGTCCGGTTTTTGAAGGAATTTAATTAGTATAGCTATGTGTTATATTTTTAGACTAGCAAAAACCTAGGCGAAACTATAAGCATAGTTAGCTTCGTTGTTGTGAGCGTATGGCATCAGTTTCTTAACAATTTCTTCGGCGAATTCATCATACAAAAAGTAATATAAAACGATACGCTGCTACTTACAAAGCAATATAAATTTAAAACTTTTGCGTCATGTTCGTCCTGATTTCAGCAACTCAGTGTTAGCGTTGCTTTGTACCACACCCCATGGTGGCGAGCTGAAAAAAGTGTGCGTCAGTTGCTAACCTTGATGATGTTAAGATCTATTAAACCTACATTCATCACAGGATTCTACATGTATAAATTGAGTTATGAGTCATTCATTTCGGTAAGATGATGCAATGAATCTCGCAAGTGCGTTTCGGCTCGTTTGCTTTTTGACAAATATTCGCGGTGTTTTGATCGCAATAATAATGATTCGATCAGTACCGTCGTTATCGGGTAGGCAACTTAGAAAATTACCTAGGGTCTCGTATTTAAAATAAATTTGGGGACCAAACATTTGTCAAGTTAAAAAAGTTAAATATACGGTGTAAGGAAATTATACTGATTTTGTCTAGGGTCTCGCAAAAGCTTGCGACCGCATTGGTATCGATGATAATTGTGTGATATGATTCATATTTATTTTATTTATCCGTTTTTAGTTTATGAAAGCGTTATACACGTACTACATGGTTTTGAAACGTGTCAATGCAGAAGATAAAAAAGTTTGAACTTGGAATCAAGCCTGCTATTGGAAACGATTGCTATATTATATATTGCTATAATGTTTTAAATATAACACAATAATAATGCATCACAACTATTTTTAAGGTAAGGTATATGGTACACTTCTTTCAAGCACTTTAATTTTTATTTTTTTATTTTTTTGAGTTATTAAAACGGTATTTATAATAATTTTTTATTTATTAAAAAATTGTACAATCAATCAACATAATTATGGTCACATGTCCCTGTTACAGAAATAAGTATTTGAGTATCTTGAACGATCAAATCGATCAAGCGAACTATCAACTTCAATATTATACAAGAATATAATATATACTTAACTATGCTATGATTATTACTAATGGTTAGATGTTTATATGATTCATTTATTGTTTTTATAGAATAAAAATTATTAGTAATTCAATGTGTACATATTATAGTATACATATGTAAAATTTCTTGCCACAGTTAACATACAGCCTAAATTACTGAGCATCTTAAATCATTGAACCATTCTGTGACTATACAATATTAATTATCTGTTATAAGGTCGCTAATTAAAATTAGTGGTATTATTACGTGATATTTAATATATTATGATGTACTATGTATATAAAGACAGAAATTGGAAAACAAATTTTTAAACATGACCCTTATAATTACTCATAGATTATACTGCAGCAGTGTATAGAACATAATATTATAACACATTAGGTTAATACGTCCATATTGATACATAGTTTGCCACAATTGGTTTTTTTTTTTTATATTTTGTTAATATAATTATATTCCAATACACCACACAGCCTCGATTCCGTTCAACGTCAATCTTGCAGTAATACAGTATATACACGTTACAGGCACACATAATAGTTAAATATAATAGAAACAACAACTTATCAACAAATTAAAGTTGATTATCGTTATTTTAACTATTTTCAGAAAACGGGACATTTTTCCTGGACAAAAATTGTCCTGAGAACAACGGGATGCATGGTCAACTTAATTCATTTTTTAAGTCTTAAATCACCCATAATTTTTTAAAAATATCTTGATAGTATACAGCGTATATGTAGTATACTCTATCGGAACACCCCTACATGTAACGAGTAACCTAATTGTTGGGATTAATTGTAATTATACAAAATCACAATAAAAAAAAAAACATATAAATATTATATTTTTTCTCCAGAACTGTAAAAATGTAATGCATTATTATTATATATCCATTCAAATATACAATGTGTAATCAATAGTTGAAAACACTTTGTAACTCTACACATATTAAATATATTTTAATTATGTTTTTTTGGATACCAAACAAGCTTTGTCATACACTTATTACACTAATTAAACTAATTTTAGGCAATTTAATTTCGCGCATGCGCATAACAACTTTTTTTTTTAAATAACATTTCCCCTTTTTGTCTGGTAATTATTTTGACAGGTATTTTTTTACTAATATTAATGGTTAAACCAACTTCCTTAGTTAAAAATTAGCTGAGTTATGAATTTTTCAATAACCCAATGGGAATTTTGATTGTCCCAATAACGATTATTTTGTTTATTTATAATCCCATTCTTAGTAAATTTATAATCATCTGTCCACAATTTGTAATTTAAAATTATAGGACTGTTTTATAATTCAGTAATCAATCAAGAAATAAATGTAATCCTACATTTAACATCATGTTGACATGATGCAACTATTTCAACTAAGTATCTTAATATTATTAATATTATTATCTTATATATTACATTTAAAAATCCATAACTCAGAATTTAAATGACCTAAAATTAATTTAATTAGTGTAATAAGTGTATGTCAAAGTTTGTTAGGCATCCAAAAAAACATAATTCAAATATATTTAATATGTACAGAGTTACAAAGTGTTTCCAGCTATCGATTACACACTATATTATGCTCATATGATTTCTTTGATTGTAGAAGAGTAAATTATTAAAATATTTTATACTTTTCTGTTATCCAGCAGATGCCGCGATATTTATTAAAATATTTTTTATGATAGATGAAGAAACCTAAAAAACGCCTCTTTGAAGAAACTTTAACCTTCTGAGGCACGCCATAGAGTTTAAATATCATGACTAAATTGCACAAATTTTATTTTTTTATAGTTAGGAACCAAATTTAAGAGTGGTGCAGTTAAAATCGTGATCTTTTTTTTTTAAGGACCACCCTAGTACTTACACTACATATATATATACAGAGGTGGATAAGCCCATAAGGAAAAGGGATTTTCCATGTGGGTCCTCGCTCGGGTGTCACCGGTTTCCGCCAAAAATTAGCTTTCCGTTTTCCACCAATTATAAATTATAGGATTTTAAAATTTGGGAACCTCTTAAAGTAAGTAGATTTTATTTGATTAATTCATGGTGGAGGAAAATACAATCTCTTGGTTTATCAAACGAATATAAAGATACGAATTCCGAAATTGGCAAATGGTTACGATACACTTTTGGTCTTTTGTTTCTTAATGCGCAGGAAGTATCAGATTGTTTTTCATATGATTTTATGAGTGTTCGTCCTGATAATAACTTATTAACTAAATACTCTGATTACTTGGTAGATAATTACATAGGAGACGATTGTAAGTATCCTCCATCACTATGGGCTGCATTATCAGCAAGTTTGACTCGGACAACGAACGCGTGTGAATCTTTTCATTCTTTATTCAAAGACAATTTTTATAAACGAACACCGCATATAATACCATGGATAACTGTACTTATAGAAAACATTCAAACATTGAAACGTATATGTTACTTTAAAAAGTATTAATGAATGTAAAATACCGAGAAAAAATATTATTGAAAATCGTAAACGAAATAAAGAATTAATTTTAAAATACCATAAAAATGAAATAAGTAGATAGGAGTTCGTAAAATTGATATCAAACCATTATGCTAAATGAAGTTTAAATGAAAAATGCAGGCAGTCAATAAAGGTGCAATGACATGTTGTTATCAAAAAAATGCAAATACATGTTTTATATTTATTATTTATTATAATTAGTAATTAGTATTAAGTAATATAAATTTTTTTACAATAAATTCATTTTGTGGTATTCTTTCATAAATTTAATTAATATAATATTATTTTTTATTGCAATTAAGACGCCCCCCTCCCATGAGAGTGATTATTGTTTAGTGGCGATCTATCACAACGAAAAGTTATATAATTAATGAAGTGCAATTCAGAGTTACATATAGCAGGTGAAAGCCATGTTTCAGTAAATATAATTATATCAAAAAGAGAGGTAATTTATTGAGGAAATTAAAGTGTTAATTTTAGAAACTATGCTCCTAACTTTTTGATAGTAGAGTAACAGGCTTGAATTAGTGACTAGTCTTTTTGAACCGCAAAGAAGATGATAGTTGGTTGACCCTTATAGTATTTTATTATCAGATTTGGCTCACCTTTTGATAACGGATTCCGTAGATCATGGAGAAATTCTCGCTTAGAATGGAAGGCTATAATAATCCGGAAAGTATATGTCCGGACCGTATAATCCCGGAACGTATTTATCCGGACTGTATCTAGCCAGAATCAAAAATTAGAAAACCGTGTTTGCCCGGAACGTATTCATGCGGACCGTATTATTCCGAAATGTATTTTAAATTGCCTATACTAAACAATTTTAGGCGCTAGTGAGTCGTCTTTGAGGAGCCTCGCTATAGCATTTATTTAAGGGAGCAACATTTAGGTAATTTCTAATCACATCATCGCCACCTGAGGTCTATATGTTGGTTGAAAATGATTATTAGTGTGTGTGGCGTCAATGCGGATACCACTTCTTTCCGCACCATCATCCAGGTAGTCGTTCATTGTAATCGTTTATCGGGCTGAGACCCGATTGAGCACGGTTGCAATCAAACAATAGGAACCCAAAAAGACCTAAAAAACCACACGATTGAGCACGAAAATGGGTGCGACGTTGCCGCTTTGTACTGTAGAATATTATTCGGTGCACCATTTTACTGTGCATTCAAGATTTATAATTATTATGTAATTAAATTTTAAATTTGTAATGATTATTTCATAATTTAAAATATTTATGGCTCAGGTTTCCTAAAAGAAATAACTCTCCAGTAAAAAAACGACAGAAACCTTTTTTTTCGCATTTTTTATGTTGTTGGTGTATAAAGCTCGGTACGTCCATATTATTACAAAATAAAATATATTTGAGTATAATTATTTATAATTAAAAACCTTTTATTGGATTTTAATCACATGTTATAATTACATTTTTTTTTTTTTTTACTAAAAAATAGCTCTCATTCAATTATCATGAAAAAAGTAAACATTTAAATTTTTCCCATAAATACTTATTTTCAACTTTCAATAAGTATTTAAATAGGTTGTCAGCATTTTTAAATTCAGAGTACTCACGATAAGCCTTTATAGTGGTATTTTTAACGCACGGTAAAGTCAAGGTGCACGCGACAGTTTTCGAAATATCGCGCCATAATTTTATTTTATAATTATATTTTATAATTTTACTGCACGACACTCGTGTGTTGTGCTCTATTCATTTTAATGTACTTTATAACAAAACGAGCAGTAAAATTAAGGCGCGGTAAAATAACGCTAGTGTGTTACCAGCCTATAGTAAGTTTTCAATCTGATAACGTTGTACACAATATTTTATTTTTACCGTGCTCAATCGGGTATCACCGAGTTATCGCAGTATACCATATTTGATGAATTGTAGTTATCGAAAATTAGGTACCCACGTTTTAATGTACAACAATAGTTAATTAAAAAAAAAAAAAAAAAATGTTAATAGTTTGCAGTGCAATGTAATTTGTACTATTATTTTTATTATTTTGGTTCATGGTGGTCTCTTATTCCCTTTATGAAATTTTTTTTTCTTTTCGATAAAGGAATTTTAGTTTTCATTTTATATTTGGAATTCATTTTTCTAATTACAATAACTAAATAGTCTTTACAGAAACAAACAGGACTCGAAATGAACCGGAACTACGTTTCGGTTTACGAAAAAAATTTTTTTAGCGTTCCGGTTCGTAAAAACAATTACGTTTATCGTTCCGGTTCAAACAAATTTTTAGTGTACCAACCATATTTTGGTAAAATTTAAATATTTTGCAGAATTGTTCATTGTAAAATATTTAATAAACGTCAAACTACCACCATGCACAAGTACATTTATTGCTTATCTATACGATAATCGCCGTCCGCCTATAGTGTATTTTAGCTTTATTTACACCAGTGGTTCTTAAACTGTGGTACGCGTATCCCTTGGGGTACTCGAAATTTTTTAAGGGGTACAAGTCTGGCCAACAAACCTTTAAATCTAAATTATTTATGTGGAAAAAGTTATTCAAGTTTAAAAGTAAATATAGAAACAAGTAAAATGTTGAAGATGATTTAAGATTGTACTAAACTAAATTAGAACCCAATATTGATCAACTGTATCAACAAAAACAAGCTAAACCTTCTCATTAATTTTTTTTGAAAGTAAGCTATTTTTGTTTTTAACATTTTTTGTATAAGTATTATGTTTTAATGAAATAAAAATGTAATTTTATAAGTTTTTAATTTTTTTTTATATTCATTTTAGTTTTTCTAACTACGTAAAAAGGGGTACCCAAAAAAGTTAATTGATTAAAAGGGGTACAGTGTTTATAAAAGTTTGAGAATCTCTGATTTACACAACACGTATGTGAATTTTAAAAGTTAAAAATAAAGCATTATACCAGGTTCACACTATTGAAATTTCTTGTATGCTTTTTCCAGCATGCTTATTTTTACTCGTGCAAGAACAAAATTGAACAAATGTGAACGTTTATAATACGTAATGCAAGCTCTTGCAAGATCAAACTTGCATGAAGTCCAACACGTCGGACAGAATTTGAATGCAATTAGTTAATTTTAAGCCAGTTTATTTCCGAACACGAATAGTGACCACGTGATCAATGTGATTTCTTAATTCAAAACAAACTGATGCGCCAACACTATTTCTTCTATTAATCCATTGTCGAACCCATAATCTTTTTTTTTAAAAGCTTCTTGCTTATTTTCTAAGATTTCTTTACGAAGCATATCACAAACAATGAGTACTCCTATTTTGTTTGATCCATTTAACAGTCTCGTTATAAATATAAAAAAAAACAGCACTTCTACTCGCGATCAGATCATTTTTGAAACTAAACAATATTTAAATACATACAAGACTAAAAATATACAAGTATATGTGTGAATAGAGCTCTTAAAATACGTGTCACGGAATTCACGTGTACACGTGAAATACATGTTTATCCAAATATATATCCATTTTTATAATGATGAAAATTAGTAATTTTATGTTATGCACTTGAAGTTTTAATAAAATATTATTAGTACAGTATTAAGTTAAGGTTATACGTTCTTCTTTTGGATTTTACACGTGACACATAACACGTGAATTCACGTGTATTAAGAGCTCGACATGTGAACATGCACTTCTTAATATTTAAATACATTTTTGATTTTTATTTGAACATTTTACTTTTTCAATCGATTATCATTTGATAATACAGACTTAAAAACATTGCATTATTAGTCGATATTAATTGATATAAAATTATATTTTGCATATTTTTAACTATTGGTGATTTAGTTTGTTAGTTGTTTATAATTATAGAAGAATATTTAGTTGATTTATATGACTTTCTGAAGCTTAATACTGGTTGAACATTGATATCGAATTCGAATGAATTAAATTTTTTTATTCATTCGTATTTTGATTTTAGAATTTACAGATTTTGTTTCAGGAAAGTAATTCAGTACCTGTTCAGAACAACAATCACAATGATGAAGAATTTGTCAATGGTGTCTGGCCAACCTAGTTCAGGAGATACTAAGAATAATGGCAATAGCTACGATCTTGTATTTCCAGCTTTGCCAGTTCCGAAGACATCGAATACTATTGGGACTGTACCATTTAAAAAACGGAGTAATGTTAAATCTTCAACGGTGAACGAAGTAATTTAACATGCCTTTTTAATAGTAATTAATAAGTATTAGAATGATCAATCTGATATTAATTTGTAACACGGTCGCATGTCAGTGCGATTATAATTTACCCGTTCCGTTACCGCAATTTTAGTTAAGTTATTTTATTAGTTTATTTAAGTTAAGTTAGTTAGTTCAGTTCACGGTATTATATTTATGCGACTTCACTTTCAAGATGGACAACATACCCTCTCCACTTACTACCAAACCCAAACGGTCGCTGCTATCATAGCCTAATTCTCCTATCCATACGGGAAAAACACTAAACCATTAGTTTCGTCTAATCGTTTCGCTGTCTTTTCGAGCGAAGTGGACAAAGAAATCAAACTCGACACCTCTTGTGACATTCATAATATAACCAAAGAATCTACTGTCTACCATCAATATAAAAACATCAGGTCACTATATATATATCAAATGCCCAATTGTAATTAGATTTCCGCAAAAGAATTGGGAATGTCATTCAAAATGGCCATACGCTTCCGCTGTTCTTTGTTGAAATTAATCCAAATACAAATGATAAAAAAAATTCTTAATGAATCATCAATGTTGCACACAAGTTGAATTACCCAATAAGACTTATAGTGATTCACCTCAGTGTCTAAAATGACATAGCTACGGTCACAATGTTAACTATTACCATTACCATACTGGAAATAATGGTGACTCTTCATCATTCACGCTGTGTTAAATGCATGGGAAATTACTCCTGAAACAGTTACATCAAAGAGAAAGGCAGTTTAACCAAGAGCGGCTTTTACGCGGGTGATCATACTTCCAACTATAAAGGTTGTCCTAAACATAAATTACTTCTTAAACGTCACAAAACAACCCACTTGTAATCATCAAAATAATAATATTGTACTCACGTCTTCTCTTATCAAATCTCTTTCCAAAGCTTCTTGCGCCTCCATCACTAGTTCTAATAATATCCTATTATCTAATAGTCCTATGGACGATATACCGTTTTTCAATTTATCTCAGGTCTTCTGGCAATAATAAATCTAATATTTTCCCTTCTTTTATTATTACAGCTCTTCTACGCAATCACCTTACTCCTAAGCCCAAATTCTTTTCTACCTTATTCATTTAAATAATCAACGTCTTTAACCACTTGATATGTTATTCGTTATTTGTAAATTTTAATTGGTCAATCAAAATTAACTCTTATTTTATAATTATCTCAAATTATTATATTTTACTAATATTATTTTATGATAAAGATTATTGTATATTAATGTTAAAATGTATACTTAGTTATTTTACTCACATGATTTAATTGTTGAGCTATAATAACTTTGTGTTAAAAGTTAAATAAAAAATAAAAAATAACATAAAAATTATAGAATGATAATTTAAATATTAAAGAACACCATTATTATGATTTAAAATAACATTTTTTTGTATGAATAGTATTAGTTTAAAAAGTTTTTGTCATATCTAGAATAAAAATAAATTAATATCTTAATTTTTTGTAAAATTTGTAGATAATTACAATACCTGCCCAAGATAGAAATTGGGACAGAAATAGTCAATTAGAACAAGAAAAATGTAAGGAAGTATACATAAAAATTGGGAAAGAGTATAATGTAGGAATGGAGATTTTTATTTCAAAAACTATGGACCTGACTTTACTAATCAGCGGCAATAGAGTTAATGTTGAACGAACAAAACAAAAGATTATCGCATGCGACCAAACTCAAGTAAATAAGTTTTATTTAAGTTGGAATTAATAAGATAAACTGATAAAAATGATATTTATTATAATGTATTATATTTTTGTGTACAAATTATGAATTATTTATTATTATTATTATTTTTAATATTATAATACATAAATGTGCATATTAATGAAATATGTTTGATAAATCATTTGTTATTTTATAAATTTTTTAAGGATAAATAAATAAAAAAAATATTTTTTTTTTTTTAGCAATTTTAACTAAAACATTAAAATTTCAGATTAAAACTACTACTACACAGTTTCCAAAAGAACATCGAAATAAGTTATTGGGCAAACAAGGACTTAATCTTAAAAGTATCGAAAAACGTACAGGAGCATGTGTTCAAATACCGTGTATGAAAAATTCGTCTGACATAATTTATATAACTGGCACAAAGGATTCCACGAAAAAAGTAGTTCAAGTATGTATCAAAAATATGGTTTAATGAATCGGAATTTAAGTTTAATACATTTAAGTAAATTAATTTTCGAAAAGAATGGTTGGAATGAACAGGTTGGAGAAAAATTGGCAAAACAGATAATGTCTATTTTTGAAATGGTTAATTGTGACCATACTAGTTTATTTATTTTATTAATTAAATTAAAATTAAATCTTTTAATAAATATTTGAAAATTTCACAATTTCTAAATTAAAATGTCGATCATTTTTATTATACTTTTACATTAAAAAATAAATTAATGAGGATTTTAATATTGAATTTTGATATAACTCTATACAAATTCAATGAACTTTTAATTTTAATATTATAGGTTTAAAAGTTTTTAAAAGATTTCTGATATATTTTTTTTTTTTTTAGAAAAAAATTTACAAGTATTATGTATTAACGAAATCGGGTATTTTAACAAATTTCCATCAAATAGTTTTTTTCGTAATTTTGTAATAATTAAAATTTTTGTTAGGAATTGAAGGAAATTATATTTAAGTTGAAAAGTAAAATTGAAAAAGAAATAACAATTGATCAACGTCATCACGGAGCGATAATTGGAGTTAAGGGTGAAAAAGTTCGAGAACTTCAGAAAATATTTAATGTTCAAATTCTATTCCCCAGTCCAGGTAATTTATAGTATTAATAGTATTAATATGTTTCTTTTTTTTGTATTTTGACCGTTAATAAATAATATTTGGTTCGATATTTTAGTCGAGGCTAGAAATAATTTAGTTAAAATACGAGGTTTGAAAGATGATGTAAGTAAAGCATTTAAATCATTAGCTGAATTGGCCGAAGTATTGGATGAAACTAACTATGTGTTAGAAATTCCTATTTTTAAACAATTTCACAAATTTAGTGCTGGAAAGAGAGCAGTATTTATTAAAAAGGTAATTATTATTTATTAACTTTTGTGATTCCGACATTTAGAAATATTGTTATTTATATAATTTAATATTTTAGATTAGAGAAGAGACTGATACAAGAATTTTTTTACCACGTGAAGGAGACAATAGTGATGTTATTAAAGTCATGGGAAGTAAAAGAAAAGTTTTAATCGCTTATGATATGATTAAAGAAATACAAAATGAAATAGTTGGTTTTTTATAAAGATTATTTATTTTTCAATTTTATTATTAATTTATCAATCATGTATTTTTAGGGAGATATAATAACAAAGGAAATGGTGTTGAGAAATGTTCAAGTTAGAAATGCCATTGTAAATCTTGGGAATAAATTCATTCAATCTATAAAAGAAGATTGTGGTAGTAATGTGACATTGAATTTACCAACTGTTAAAGGAGATAATGTAAGAATATACTTATTAACCAATTGTATAAGTTATTATATGCGTGATATACGCTTAGACATCGACTCGAACCTGGCCTCTGGCAGTTTCTCTCTTTGAGCAGGAGACGATTGTTTCAAGAAAAGAAACTGCTTCCCCTCCCCTAATACAATAAGTACATTTTCAAGAAAATTTCCCAAATGCTAAAATCTATAAAAAAAATAGTAAACAGTTATTTTAAAGCCAAAATTTAATTCATAGACTATAGTTATCAAAGGACCTGAAGATGATGTTAAAAATGTTATTACACAAATTCAGACAATGGTTGACGAAGTTCATAAATATGTGTATGATTTAAAAGTAAATCCGAAGTTTCATAAATATTTAATTGGAACAAATGGAGTCAATGTTAAAAAGGTATGTTTTTCAAATAATTTAGTATAAGGGTACAATGTGTTCATTTATGATTTTATACTTGGATTCCAGATCAGATATTTAACGAATACAAGAATAATTTTCCCGCCTGAAACTGATTCCACTAATGAAAATATAATTATTGTTGGTAAAAAAGAGAATGTTAATAAAGCAAAAGCAAAATTTGAAGTTATGATAACCGATATTGGTAATGTCATCGAAGAACATGTTGAAATCAATAAAAAATATCATGACACTTTAGTGGTCAATCAAAAAGAATGTTTACACAAATTGGAAAAAGAATGTGGCGATATTAAAATTGAATTTCCTAATCTTTGTGCTGGAGATAGAGTTGTGATCAGTGATAGCAAAGCAGATGCTACCCTTTCTAAACAAAAACTTTTAGACTATGCTAAAGTTTTGGTATGTATAATTCAATACAAATGCACGTGTATTAAACTAATCTGTCTATTTTTTTATTGAAATTGTATTGAGATTATATTTACATATTTGTTCATTGATATATAAGTCATATAAAATGAAAAAACTTAAGATAAACAATTAAAATAATCATTGATTTACCTAAATACAACTAAATAAGTTAACCATATAATCATTATTTGATTTAGGAAAATACTATTCGAGTTGTAGTAAATGTTGATCCAAAGCATAAGCGTGCACACGGGGTAGTCAGGGTAGGTACTTGACTATTCTGTGAAACTTTCCACCCTCACCAAAATATTCAATATGATCACAATAATAAATAAACATACTATTTTCAACCACTTCGAAACATTAGTTAACGTTAAAAAAAATGTAAGAATACTGGAGAAATATAGTTTTTAAGTTAAATGAAGTTACGAATGCAAATTTTTTGTTAATATTAAATGATAATGTATTATGTTTGACTACCCTGCCAGTTATGTCTGCACACGCTTATGATCCAAAGTATCATAATTACTTTGTTGCAAGACGTGGTGAAATTATCAATCGAATTATTAATGATTGTAATGTGTCTATAACATTTCCGAAAATAGCTTATAGTAATAGTGCTATCATCATAAAAGGTGACAAAATAAATGTTGTAGAGGCGAAACATAAGATTGAAGAAATTGTTAAAGACTTGGTTAGTATTTACTATACAAATATTTTTATTTATAGTTATAGTCATAAAAAAACCTATGACTAACAGTTATTACATAAAAAATAATTGAACATTTATTACCTTTTAATTTATTTAAATAATAGATATACGAGAATCATAATAATTATAATCTCGTAATGCATTAAAATGTTATAGGAAAACATAATTGAAGTCACTATGAACGTTCCTCCAAAATATCATCATCATTTTGTTGCCTACCACGCTGAAGTAATAAACCAGATATGTGGGAAACATAATGAAGTTACTGTTACATTTCCACAAGTTAATTTCAATTCTAGTAAAGTTTTGATTAAAGGGCACAAGGATTGTGTTGAAAAAGTCAAAAATGAAATCGATAATATTATTATTGACTTGGTAAGTTGTACACTAACACTTATTGTTTTATCGTTAAATTATTAATCAATAATCGTGTTACACAGCGGCGTAGCAGTTGTGCAGTAGGTACGACGCACCAAGGCCTTCGTGATTTGAGGCCCTCAATTCAAAAGAAAATTGATATGAACAAAAATAGAAGCTTGCATTAACTACAACCAATTGTTTGTTTTGTTTTTCGGTAGAAATAAATAATGAGAACATTTTTTTTTTTCAAAATCTCATCAACGTCTTTTATTGTTAGATTAATCTAACAATTAAAAAGTCAAAATAGTCAAAATAATTAAACTAATAAATTGAAATGTAAATATAATGAAATAAAATATATAAAATACGATAAATTTAATATAAAAATTACTTATTGTTAATTGTAGATTATGTTTTTTTAGTATTTTGGGTTTGGCCCCTTCCACCCCACCATTTTAAAATCCTAGCTACGCTACTGAAAGATAATATTCTTTATTACATAAAATGAACTAAATTATAGTCATAAATATTTTTATTCCATATTAATTGATGTAAAAAAATAAAAGAGTGTTAATAAATAGTTCTAATAGTGTTTTTAAATTACATAAATATATTGGGAATTTGATAATCAAACTGACCTGCTATTTTACTTCTATCTGGTTTATGTGTAAAAATAATAATCTCAGCCAAGAATGATTGTTATAATTTCAATATTCTACAAAATATGACGTGTTCCAATAATTTCTTTTTACAAAATCTTAGATTATGTTTAGTAATAAGTAATAGTAATCGGTAAAAATATTTATAAATACAATTACATCATGTTGCTAAAGCAAAAACTTCAAATATTGTTGATAAACAACATTACATAATAAAAAGTTATGATATACATTATACATGCAAACAAATATAAATTTAATAAATTGGCTGATTTTTTAATCCCACTTTTTTCACATATTTGTACTTTTATACATTAATACATTAAATTTTGTACTACATTTATTACACAATGTGCTTACCTAGGATTTTGGCGCTTTTGTGCGATACGATTTTTTTTCTTATCTCATTTTCTCATACACATCTGTATATCATTTTCCAAACAGTCGTTCAATTGAATATAACAAATCTATTTAATCTAGTATAAATAAAAATCAAATAAAACTTACCTAAATATGTTATTAAATATTTTCTAAGTTTAAGTAATTATAAAATGAGAAATAAATATTTCTGCTATGTATACATGTTTATGTGAATAAAAACATCTATGGGATTAAGTGAAACGGCAGCTCCCAATATTTATGCTCTGTCGATACCAATATTAATAAAATTATGTTAGTCATCTCTAATTGTCGTGCTGTGTCCATATGTAAATATCTACGACGTTTTTAATTTCAAAAGTCAAACAAAAAATTTACAACGATCGAAAGTAAGTTGACCGGTTGTATTTATTTATAATTCACTTCACACGCAACCGTAACTACAGATACTGATATAGTGTTTAAAATATTTCAGATTGCAGTAATTTTGTATTCTCACGAACGCCGTTCCAATACTAATTTTTTGTAAAACGTATTTATTTTGTCTACAAATCGTGCACGGCTATACCTCGGTCGTCCCGCAAACTTCTGTCTTAACTAGTCAATTATCTCGGGAGTCATGAATCTCATCACGAGGACGCGTAACAATCCAAATGATACCATAGATATCAGAAAATCCCCGAGGGTACCAAAAAAACCCAAGTTTTTGAAAGAATACGTAACTGCTGAATTTGATGACATGTTGTCGTGCACAGAACATCCAGATTTGAGCCATACAGTCGATACAACTGAAAATAATAATGATGTTCAAACCATCTTTGAAAAGCTTTTAAATCTCGTAGAACAATGGCAGAAAGAATTAATTGATAGTATGGAAAAAATTGACCACGATGACTACGCGTTTCCGAGTATTTTAAACAAATACGTTACGGATAGTTCTTGTTAGTTGATCATTAAACTATTTCCTTCGAACAATTTTACGAAAAACAATAATCACAGTTACAGTAGTTAATTTTTTTCGAAATTTTTTTTATTATTCATTTAAACGCGTGTAAATGATGAGATTTCACGTTTTTTAAATATTTAAATTTCTACCGCAATGCATAATTGACATTATAATTCATAAAATGTGCCAACAAAACAGATTGCTAGACACATATTGTCGCATACATTCATCTGCAGGCTAAATGATTTACACGATTAATTATTTATTAAAAAACGAATTAGATTCTGTATTTTTTGTCTGCACGAATAATAATTTTCCTGTATATTTTAGATGACTGCGATGTTATCGAAGAAGCGTCAATATGCAGATTGAGCATAGATATCAAAAGAAAATCGCTCGAACGAGACGAATCGTATTCAGTTCCGAGGTATTTGGACGACACCAATAAGTTGAATTGCGTTAACTTTGATGGAATGAGGTTGCTAAGATGAATTATTTGTACGACGAGAGTCCGAGTAAAACAAAACGTATTTTGGTTTTAATTTTTGATAAATTGATTTAAGATACTACTTTTTCCTACTTTTTTAGTATTAATTTTTTGAATATTTTTGTATTTTACACATCTTTTTGTTTGAAGAAATTACAATTATTTTAAAATACCACGTAAATCGTTTTAATTTTGCATACGTTTTAATCGTTATGCTCACGCAAACTTATACCATATATTAAATAAGTATTACATTTGATTAGTGGTGTTATTACTATGGTAACGTACCTATCACACGCAAATTATTTAACCATAGTATACAAGTTACACTATTTTAAACTTCAGAGTGTACTAAAAAAAGTAAATTCTAAGTTCTACAATTTTATCTTGACGAAAAACGATTGTGAAAAATAAGATGCTTTTAGGTAGGTACCTACCTACTTTTTTTTATTTACCATAGTAGAAGTTTATTCAAAATGTGTTGGTACATAATATCATCCTTCATCATCCCCCACCCCTTTGTACGGCAAATTAATAAAAAACAAAGTCAAGGAACTCGGAAGAATATTATTCGATACATTTTAGCGTAAAAGTATTGAGAATGTTTAATAGAATGCCATCTGCAAGAGAGTAATCTCTAATTACAATGAGCCATCCCATTAACGATATGATAGATCAGATGACTTGCCACGGATACCAACGTATCTATTAATAACGTAACTCTTATTAGGTAGTTTTAGAGCTTACTATGAAAACACCATTATCATTATAGTAGAGACATGAATGTATGAATGCGAATTGTTCGTATACAAGAGTAGAACTAAGGGGAGGAAGACGGGGATTCATCGCCGGGCGTAAACACGTAGATGGTATAATTTTTATAGTACATCATCTGTTATTGACTACTAGTTTGATAGTTTTAACTTTGTTACTGATAATATGTTTAAAAATCAATAATTATGATTGTATGCTAATTACTAAAAAAAATTGTTAGGAAAGATAGTTGATTCTTGGTCTAAGATAGTGCGTAATTTTGAATATTTTTTTTATTTTTAAGTGATTTTGCGTATTCCTTTCGACCAAATTTGATAAAATAGTTTCCTATTTCACCTAAAATTATTAGCATTCTTTTCGCCCATAGTTTCACGTTCAATATTTTGGGAAGCATTGTCTCAAAATAGATGTGTACAACAATCGTTGAAGAGTAAGGTTATTTTTGGACGAAAGGAGTTCCGCCCGTAATTTTAACATTTTCCCTGGACGTAAAAATATTTAGTTTCACCCATTATTCATATACAAATTTCAAGAAGATAATCGACTTTTTGATTTCATTGCATTTGTATTACACCATTACGGATGGACTTTATTGTCAGATCGTTGTGGAAATACAAATCAACCAAAAATCTGTTTTCAAAAATAAAATTTACAAAATTGACATGAACTTGGTAATTCCAAAATTCACAACTGTTGTTCCAGACAATCGCACAAACGGAGGCGTCGCGAACACAATACAACGAACAATTAAATGATCAACCAAATAACGATAATAAAAAATATTTATATAACATTTGATGTACCTATGTTTTAACTTTTTCAAAACTACAATATCAAAAACGCATATAACATACATTTTTTAACGTAAAAATAGATAGACGTTTCGATAACGGCTGCCGCACTTGTCCGCGTCAACTATTGGTATATGGTTATATTAATGTTTATTGTGTATGTCTATTATTAATATTATTTATTGTTTGTTTTTTTTTTTTTTTTTTTGTTTCTGTCTAAATATTCTTATTATTATTAACAAATTTGACAACGTTGCAATAAGTTTAACACTGACGGAATTTTTCAGCGTACGCACAACACTTAATTTCTGCGAATTTTGAAATGACATATACGTGATCACTATCGTTATTTGTCTATTTATTTATTTAGTAACTATGTCTCTTGCGTACTGCGATTCTATCATGCGTTTAACATAGTTTTTTATTTGTCAACTGCCTATGTGTTAACATCATAGGCGAAACTACGGGTCAGGCCAGTCAGGCCATGGCCTGACCTAATATTAACAAAAAATATGTATATATTTTATATTTTAATAATTATGTAGGCATTATAAATAATATATTTATACATTTAACGTATACATTTGTACGTTTCATATAATACTATAATATAATATAGTATATAGGTACAATCATAGGCGTGCGCAGAGTTCTTAGTCAGGTGCAGCACACATTTTTATCGGTCTTGATACCTTTTATTTTAAGAAGATAACATTTATAGCAAACTCATTATATATTACATATATTGAGTATACTACTGTATATAGCAAGGATCTTCAAACTTTTTAGGCAGAAGGCCACATAATTTTTCAAAAATAACTTGCGGGACGTACGTACATATAATAAAATATATTTATATTAATTAATTATTATATTAATATAATATAAAAAATATATAAAAATCGATTTATATTACTGTAATCTATGATTTATATTTTAAACTAAAAATGTAATAATAATAATATATTTATTATAATTGTATTGATATGCATAGAAATATGTTAATATGTGTCACTTTTATACTTATAATTGTACAGAATTCTTGAATTGTAATGAATTCTCCAGAATTCATTGTTTTGAATTCGTCTATTATTGTTTCAATTTTAATGTTATTTAAATTATTTTGTTCAACAAACAATAGTAATAGTGA